TTTTGTTTCGTTCCCCGCAGGAACGAAACGGTACTGTATTTGGTTTCGAGCAATTATCACAGGAAAGTGACGTCAGAGATCAAAGTTATCCAATCCTTTGCCAGTATTCTTGCTCAAACGTCAATTACATTTAGAATCGTCCAATGAGATGACCGCTCCTAGCATAAGAAGTTTTTTGGAGGCGTGGCGTATAATCGGAAATCTTAGTTAATTATATATCAACCTATGAGAACATGCTAACTTAACCTGAAGTTCCGGCCCTAATTTTAAATAGGGCCTGACACAAAACCTGTCTAGACCGTGGGACGCTCACATGTTATTTTTAGACACAGCATGCAATATGATTGACAAGTGTTATAGATTTCGTTACACAACAAAAATTATATTCTCATGAACATGTCCGCAGAGTGTGCATTTTGCTTTTTAATTAAACTTAAAAATTCAAGGTACTTTTATATAATTAAGAGTCAGTTTCTCTATTTAACCGAACAGCAAACGAAGATTCAATTAGTCAGTTCTGTGTACAGCTTGACTGCCAACCTTTCTCAAGGTCTCAACTTGCTGGACGCGGATATATACTAAGGATATACTTTAACGGGCTAACAACAGCAACAATAAAATTCTCAATCGTACCACGAAGAAGGCGATGTAGCTCAGAAAACAACGCCGGTAGGACCTGATATTAAAAATAAGACTTTTGCCGGCGAAGCCAGTTGGCAGAACATCTTGGCTGTCAACAACAAACTTTCGAACAGATGACTAGTTTGGCTGTTCTTTCGGCGTCGTGTGTCCAAAATTCGTCAAAGATTTTGATAAAGACCTTCAAAATACTATTTGTTTGATTTATTTTCTGCCATAAAGCATAAAAGAAAAGAAATTCAAAGAAATCGATAATGGATTTGTTACGTGCATTTGACCTTTATATTATTATTGTCCCCTTGAGCCCTTCACCGAGCTATTTTTAAAACTGTTGTTTATGTGAACTTGCAACCAATCAAAATCTAGGGCCTGAACTTCAGGTCAAAATCTACAGGCACGATGATTTATATTTGAATTATTCAAGCGCCAACAGCGGTATATATTTATTATATAGTTTTCTTTGTTTTTCTTCATTTTAAATACTACAACTGTATTTCAACAGCGGTATATATTTATTATATAGTTTTCTTTGTTTTTCTTCATTTTAAATACTACAACTGTATTTCTGGACCGCTCGGCCCTCCGGGTAATGAAAATTTATAGAACCCGCCCGCCTCACAAAATGAACCAATTTCATTGCTCGACATATACAAGTGATCTATGGTCACAACCGCTAATTACAGACGTCTGGTATTTCTATAATTATATTGGAACGAAACATTATTTCTTTTTTAAAGAAATATTTTCTTGTTGTTTGTGTATCTCGGTGATCGCGTTTGTTTTTGTTTTCCTCGACAAACAGCAGCGAAATGATTCGGTTTTCCACGATTATTACAGGTTTTTCCTTTCGCTGGACATGCCCCTGTGTGTGGATAAGCACGCCCACAATTTCTGCAAATAACATTACTACTGTTCGAAATATTACCGTTATTAGGTTTTTGTTCTAATTTATTAGCCTCACCGTCAGTTTGTTCTTTAGATTCAATTTGTTCAGCTTGATACTTGCTCTGCTCGTCACGACGTCCTTCTAAAAGCATTGTTTTTAAGTCAAATGTAGGATCACGCAGTACTCGCTTTCGTATTTTTGATGAATTTCCGCCTATAATGATTTGTTCTTCGATTTCAAATTCAACGTCTGCGAATTCACAGGTTTCTGATATTGTTCTAAGTTTGGTGTGAAATTGATCTAATGTCTCATTGTGTTCTTGAGTTGTTTGTCTAAAACGATAAACTTCGTACCGCCGATTCTTTTGAGGGTCGAAGTAAGCCTTTAATTTCTGTTTCGCGATGTCGTAGTCCGTATCAGTTCCTGTCTCGGGGATTTGTTTAAAAATCTCGCGAACTCTTGGTCCGGCTTGATATAGCAAGAGTGCACGTTTTCGCTTTGGATCCGTTATTCCACTTGCGGTTATATACATTTCAGAAGTTTTACTTGTTACAGATTGCATGATCTGTACAGCCGGTTGCTGTAGTGGTTGAGGCTCTGCCTGCTCTTCCACCATCGTTTCGTTTAATAGAATACGTTTATCTACTTTATCTTCGTCGCCATTATAATATTCTCTTATTTAATAGACTTCTTGATATCTCGGCTACATGTAAACAACTGAATATATAATGTCCATATTCTAAATATAAGGGGCGGACCATTAGAAAATGAGGGAGGGGGGGTGGCAATTTTTTCGGGCAGGATATTTTTTTTTGCAACAACGTTGTGCAAGATTTTTTTTTCAGCCATGCTTGTGTTGCACGATTTTTTTTTAAAGGAATGTGAACTATAATTTATTAATATTATACAGCCCTATTTATATTACCATTATATATATTGTTTACTGAATATATAATTACATTACATACACACAATACGAGATATAGACGTTTATTAAACTGATATAAATAATATATAGTGTTTGTATATAAATCAACTTTATATTTTAAATACAGGTTATTTTAAGACAGTACAACTGAATATTTTAGACTGAGATGTGTATGTTTAATATAACTACAGTCTACATTATGTATAATTTTTTACGTTTATATATTTCCATTGATTTACTATTCTCTGAGGTTTATAACTTTACCTAAATATATGTTGGTCTAATAACTTGCAAGATATTTTTTTCCCACGCTGGGTTTCTGCAAGATTTTTTTTTCCTCTGAACTGACCTTGCACGATTTTTTTTTCTGAAATTGCCACCCCCCCCTCCCCCATTTTCTAATGGTCCGCCCCTAAACTAATCCTAATACGTGCGTTAATTATTAATAGACGTACATTACTATAATAATTTTGAATAATTATACTGCACTGAATTTGAAAAATTTGTTTACAATGAATTGTGCATTGCAAGGATCTTACAATCTTAGAAACAGATTTACTGATTTAGCTTTATCAATTCCGAGAGGGGAATTCCTTAAAAAAAGCTTTAAATATAGTGGCGCAAAACTTTGGACTAGCCTTTCTTCGGAAGCAAAATTAACCCAATCAGAATATGTTTTTAAATTGAATATTAATTAGATAGGGTCACACCATACAATATATTATTCGTGTTTGTCGCTTGTAACTTTGTACTTTTTTAATATCTTTTTTTGTCATTTTTGTTATTAAGGGACCGGTCATAAAGTAGCTTGGGTAGGCTGGATTCATTTGGAATGGGCCATGGAAAATCTTTGGGCAGTTTCGATGGGTTTGCCAATATTTTTGTATGTCCACGGTTGGACCACCAAACAAAAACCCATGTTAATTATATATTATATAAAGATATTAATAATAAAAGTAAACAAAACTATCCAAATTATCAAATGCAAATGATGCTATTGAAGCCAGTACTTTGTTTTATACAACACCAAGAAGTGGTCGAATCACAGCAAATACAACCAAATGGAGAATAGCTCAGTATCGTAATTGGTGATGAATGTGTTGGTGCAATTATGTATCTCAATACAGTGCTGGTGCATATTTACAATGTTCATGCCAACCTCGCTCCCAGGGTATTCGCTCTTTCCCTGCTGGTTGTGTTCATACCTGCAAGTTTTTTTTTTATTATAAAAGTGTATTTTCCCAATTTAGATTGGGTGGGTGGGTCATGAAATAAATTTTGTAAGATTAGATGGGCTTTGAAATTTTTATCTACATCCTAAGATAGGTCACCAAACTTATTGGAAAAATGTTATGATTTATCTCCAGCCCACCCTAGCAGTTACTTTATGACCAGTCCCTAATATGTTATTTTGTATATATTGACGCCCCTTGTGGAAACCAACTAAATGTTGATGAGGCTAGCGTCGATTAGATTTTAAATAAAGGTTACACACAGAATGAACAAAACATTTTCGTAAAGATAAATTTTTCAGAGCGGGTGTGTGTGTCTTTTTTAGCAGCATTAAAAATAGCTTGTGCGCGAAATTTCGAAGTTTAAAACGCATTTTGAGTTCATGGGCGAGAAATTTGTTATGTGTTTTATCAATATTCAAATATCAGAAAATTACTCAACTTTGGGTCCTTTAAATTAAATAGCTGCTGATAGTTTCATTTTTTGACATCAATGCTTATCACGCATGCTTAATTTGCCTAATTTGCATATTGGTATTTTACTTTTTTTTACAACGACAATGCAAATTAGGTAAATACATGAATTAAGCATGCGTGATATTAATAAAACTTTTAATATTTGTTGTATAAGTGATGCGTAGTAATTCAAAATATTTATATTTTTAGATATCGACCGCTGGCCCAGTGTCGCATTTGCACCCGTATCAACCATGATGAAGGCGAAGGTCAAAATCACGTGGTACAAGGTGCGTTACCCGATCCATGGTGCAACGAGGGCATTGAACAAACATATCTGGTGGACGCGATAGTTAGATTGCTACAACAAGCTCCGCCTGATCAGACGATGAGATTGCGAAAAATAGGGTATGTAATGTGTTATTATAATAATTATAATAATTATTATTATTATTCTATTATTATTATTCTATTATTACGTTCTATCCTATGTATGTATTTACAAAGTCACTATATTGAATCAAGTACCGTCAAGAATACGTTTAAATGGCTAATGCCATTTTCTTTTGCTGTGATTGATAAATCATTCCAAAGGGATACAGCTGAATAACTAAAAATCTTTTTCATAAAATTTGTTTCAGGTTTTCCAAGATTATAATTGTAATTGTTACTTCTTAAATCATATCTGTCATTTATTCTAATTGTAAACATGTTGGAAATTGATGATAACATGTTCGTTTCGTATTCTGTGCATAAAAATTGATTTATTGGTATTATAACGTTGGTTTAAAGGCTGCCAGTCTAGATAGATAGATAGATAGATCAACTTTATTTAAACACATTGGCCTTTTCAGCAAAAGCTGATTTCCAAAAGGGATGTGTACTTACAAATTATTATTTATATACTAGCTCTAATATTACATACATAACAAATACAATTATATACCTATTTAGACAAAAAATTAACTACTACTTTAAGTCGACTAATTCTTTTCTTGAAACTTCATAAGTTTTACCAGACTGAGTGATGATTCGGGCCGCTTTGTTTTGTAATTTCTGAAGTCTATTTTTTAAGTAATTACAACAGTTATCCCAAACCAAGCTACAATATTATAATCAAAGTGTGATAACACAATGGCATTATATATTTTGGTATTATATTATATTATATTATATTATATATATTGGTTGTGTGTGATCGACGTCATCCTGATGGTTTTTGGAATTAAATTAATCAGATTTCAGAATTAGGTTAGTTGAGTGAACTGTGGATCAAAATGATATATTTTTGCCTGTGAAAATTTGCAATGTGTAAACTGTTTTCTATAACGAAACAAGAGATACCTTATTTTCAATATATAACTCCATCGTTCTGCCATACTTCAATTACTGCTGCGAAGTATCGGGGAGACACGGTCTAAAAGGCTCCAAAAACTGCAAAACAGTTCTATGCCGACAAACCACTGCACGAATTATAACGAAGTGGAGATCATATATTTTTACGTACATTAAGCTGGCGGCCTCTTAAAATAGAAAGGAACAAAAGAAAAGGCAAAACTAAATTGGAGCCCAAATCTTCGAGGCATGTCAAGTCCTCTTTGTTTACTAAAGTCTCAGATTACCTTTAAACAAAACCAAAATGGAAACGACTATACTTTGGACAAGACTAACAAAACTGACATGGTTGAGTTAGCGTTGTAAAATGTGTTATAACAAAGTGGACGTTTCGCTGTAAGACGTAAGTTAAAACTGCGATCGTCTCCAACATTTTCCTCTTTATTACCAATATCTAATAGGATGGTGTCTTGTGTGAAATTTGAATACAACAAGCACTCGTGAGTTGTTCAAAGACCTCAAAATAATGTTCTTTGAAAAATCTCACTCGTGCACATTATATCCAAATTGCACTCGAAACCGACCTATTACGTACTGTATGCACTTAGCATTTTATGTGTGTTTTAGATATGACATTGAACCAGATTTTGTCGAAGTGGCCAACCAGGATGAGAATCAAGACGTATCTGAGGAGGACTTGAACAGAGGCTTATTACTAAGTCGTTTTGGCGTATGGATTTTAGCATCTCAATGTCGTACTGTGTCCCTGTGCAAGAGTGACGAAAGACTTGGCTATTTAATTTCTGTAGTTTTTGACTGGATGACGGCGACCGCTTCCATTTCCGACAAAGGAGTGCGGGCGAAAATTGAAACTTTAAAAAAGGAATATATAAGTAACTGGATTAATGTTGTTAAGAAAGCAAATCTGGATCTGTACTGCACGTGTTTGTTACCCGATCCCCCAACGTATGTACAGATGCAAGGCACATCAGATATGTTGGCTGACAAGATCCGGTTGTTGAAAGAGGGTCTATATAGGATATGTTGTTTGATTCCGTATAATTTGGTGCCGCAAGAGGTGAGTTATCAAGAACTAAGAGGTAGTCCACTAGGCGGCCCTAGAAAGGGATGTGGGGCAGTCGGAAAATCGTTTTTCCAATCGGCAATACCTGGATTGGATAGGAAGGAAAAAAACTAACATATACAGCGAATTTAATGAAGGTTGTCCTCTGTTGGTCAAAACCTTCGACCAGTCGACCTTTAAGCGCGAAAAGCACAATGGTGTGTAGTAAATTGGATTAGAACGAAAACGGGGAAACCACGGGAATTCATAAATCGCTTTTTAGGCGAAACCCAAAACGGCTTGTGGGACGTAGCAACCTTAACTACGGAGTGTCGGAAGTATGAATTACCTATTGTATGCAAATCCATCGAGGGTATTGACTTCGAAAGGACAGCCTCAATTGAATTAGCTGTATATGAGTGAAACTGATTAGAAACTAATGTATAGCTCAAATGTGGGAAATTTATGGTAACAATAAGGAAAAACTAAACGAATGACGTTACCGCAACCCAAAAAGATAATGAAATTTTTGGGTTTAGGCGCTACCTCCACGCCCCCCCCCCCCCCCCCCCCCCCCCCCCCTCCCTCATCAAAATAGGTCTAGCTGTGTCCCTGTAGTGTACTACATCAAACCGAGATACTGAGGTCGAAAAAATAATTTTCTTCCTGTTAACACAACCTGAAAATAAAAATGTCTACAGATTTGTAGAGTATTTCAATGCTAAATGTAGTCATGATGCCCATAAATATACTGTCTGCTAAGTATGGGTTTCATTTGGAGGCTTTGGCGGTGCAATCGTCAGAGCAAGCGCCTTTCACTTCTAAGGAATTGGGTTGGATTTTTGCCGCGCGTGACACTCGTGTGAAAAGAGTCCAGTGCTCTGGTTTCCTCCCACAGAGAATGTTGACAGGGTAGGCAGGCGTAAGCTCCAAACTGACCCGTAGCTGTGCTCCTTGACCAGACATGAATCATAAGGACTTGTGGCTGCCAGTAGCACCCTTGCAGAATATTTGACTTCATTAGATTGAGCTGCGTCCTTCGTGCCGAGATTTCGCTGTGTATTTATAGCCGACATGTCACTGCGTCTTATTATCCAAAATTGTGGAATTAAATTATTCTGGATAAAAGGGTGAGGTAATATCACCCCCATATAGCTTCGTTCATATTTGTGTTACCACGATAACGTTCGCATTTCGAGCAGGCCAACTCCATTCCATGCAGTCCTGGAGAATGTGTTGTGAATCTTAAATCTTTCGAATCGTTCGAGTCCCTTGTGTAGTTTTAAAAATCGTTGTAACAGCCAACGTAACTGAAAGTGAACTGATATCGAAAATATAGTCAGGGATATCTCAATGCCACATAACCCATTATCTGAAACTGATTTTGTGGGTATAATTTTCACTATTTTGAGTTGGTTTGGATTCCGTTTTATACTGAGCGAATTATTATTGAGTGTCTCGGTGTTATCATACATGTATAACATTTTACTCGGTATACCCTATATATAATACACTTTCATACATTATTGACTTGACTTTATTGACTTTATTAAAAACGGTACTATTTCACCAAGATATTTACAAAAATTAAGACGAGTGATCTTCCAATAGGCCGTATATAGCTATACTAATTACACATATACTACAGTATCTAATAATAATAACTAAATTACACACAAATTACACACTTACAGTTAGACTATTTTTAAATGTAGAGATGCTTGTTTTAGCTTTTATGTCAGCAGACAGATTATTCCAAGTCTCAGCTCCTCGATAGGCGAAAGACTTTTTCATAAAATTAGTTTTAGGTTTAGGTAATGCAAAATTGAATTCGCTCTGTCTTGTATTGTAATTATGTATTTCATTTGAGGTGATGAAAAGTTCCGTTAAGCAATTTGGTAACATGTTATGTTTGGCTTTGAACATTAGGACGGCTAAATGATGATTTCTTCTAGTCACGAGATTTGGAAAACCGACCTTGTTCAAAACATCGATTGTACGTGTATCATAGTTTTCACGAGTTATTATTCGAAATGCTCTATTTTGAAGCTTCTGGAGTTTATCAGATAGTACTTTACCCAGACAACCCCAAATCTGTGAGCAATAGTCGAAATGTGGTTGAATTATTGATAAATAAATTTTGATCAGTGTTTGGTAATCTAGAATGTCTCTCAATCTTTTAAGGATACTGAGACCTGAAAGTAGTATAGGGAATGAGGGTTCTAGACCACTTTTTCGGCCCGCGATCTCACCCAACTTCCAGTCAGCGGTTTCCATATTTTTCCCTCAAAAACGCGGGCTCATATTTTTCTAGACCATTTTTCTATTATTTTTGGTATTATTTTTTCTATTATTTTTCTAGACCATTTTTTATCTATTATTTTTCAGAATTATTTTAATCTTTATTATCATATTTAATTATACTCAGGGGGCCTAGGCTCTTAGGGTCAAACACATTACTTGAATCATCTTTTTTATCTTGTGTGCTCACTCCAATGTTAATATTATTTGATACAGAGAAATTTATATCACCAGCCTTCCCAGTTCTACTAGAACTCTTACGACAACCACAAATCTTACCTAAGCAGGAGAAGCATGACCTCCACCTTGACATCTTATCTTATGATAAACCACATGTTAACTACCTGACCCCGAATATCGGAGTGACCAGCAAAAGGACATATCCATGCTAGTACCAGTGGGCATTGAGTGTTCAGGTTTAACTATAATACACCAGGCTAGCGTGTTATCTACCAACTCAGCCTGGGCTCCTAAATAGAACATACTATTACCCTTGAAAACGTAGCAAGCTGTACTTCCACCGGTAGTTGTGTAAGTTCCATTAAACCAGGTGTGTGACAGTCTTCTTAAGTCAACCGTGGCAAGAGTGATTTCCTTTTTAACCTGTGTAAATTTTCCGTTAGATTGTTTTTCCCATACAGTAGCCCATAGGATTAAAGCTAGGGGTATATTTAGAACAGTTGAAAAACGTGGGTAGTCTGTTTTTATAGTTATTGACTCAAGGTTCAGGTCTGCCATATTATTAATAGGATCTGTTCTCCATGAAGGTGGAATCTGATCGTGACAGTAAGCGTAGTACCTTGTTGCTGCAACTGAAACACCACGATAACCCCAAATCCATTCTGCATGTATATGTCGCCGTATTCTTACATATCTTAAGTCAGCCGTTGCTTGAGTAAGACCAGTTGAAGGTTTTAGGAAATTCTTTTCTACCCACTGTTTGTTAACAGCGTCCTTGTCATTTACAGGATCCTTCAGATCAAGAATTCCACTTGAATCTCCCATATCCAAATCACCTTTTACCAGTCCACCTCTACTACTCATGAACTCATCTGTTGCCCATTTCTTATTAACAGCTGAACCGTCAGTAGTAGGATTTCCAACCCTAGTCAACTCGTAATCGTTAACATCTAAGTTACTAGCTAAAGTGCCACCATCACGCTTAAGAAACTGTGAACACCAAGAAGTCATAGAACCGTAAGAAACGGCACTAGAACCTCCTGTTGACCCACTATTTAGTCCTGTAATAGTATTACCACCCATGTCAATATTACCGCTCATAGTAAAGCCACTACTACTTACAGAACTCCCACTGACATGATCCGCGACCCATTTCTTAGACACGGCAGAATTATCAGTTGTAGGAGCTCCAACATTTATTATTTCATTTCCACCCATTTTAAGGTTACCTATCATTGCTCGCGAACCGCTAAGTTTTAGTAAGTTATTTGAGTACCTTTTAAGATACTGCAATCTTACAAGACTATCTGAGTTTCCAGGGTCGGAGTTACAGCTGGGTGCATTGCTGAAATTAACAGTACCACCAACATTTAGGGATCCTGTTCCATCTAACCGCAAAAATGTTCCTTCATTTAAATTAAACCATGACTTTGTAACAACAGCCTGGTCAGTAGTAGGATCACCGGCATTCTTAATTTCATGTCCACCCATGTTAATATTACCTGCCATGGTAAATCCGCTACTATTAATAGAACTTCCACTAACATGATCAGTGACCCATTTCTTGGAAACAGCAGAATTATCAGTTGTGGGAGTACCTAGTTTTATTATCTCATTGTTTCCCATATCAAGATCATCAGACAGAGTAAGTCCACTGTAAGTTTCACGCCTTTTACGACCACCGCTAATCTTATCTTCCACCCATTTTCTGGAAACAGCAGATTTATCGGCACTAGGAGCCCCAATATTTTTAATTTCATTACCTCCCATATGAAGATCACCTGTCATTACATTTGAACCTTCCAGTTTCAAGGCAAAGCGTGAAATTTGGTTAACCACAGTTTGAATATCTGGAATAGCTATTTTTGCGCCAAGGTTGTTGGTTGTATAGATTGAATTACCATTTGCAATGGTTAGATCACCATTTAGGGTGAATCCTGATGTTACCCACCCTTTACTAACAGCAGATGTACTCGAACTAGGATCACCAACATTTTTAATTTCATTTCCACCCATATTAAGATCACCTGACATTGTAAAACCAGAGGTGCCAGGAATCGTA